TAGTTTAGAATGGTTCTCTTGTTATTGATGTTTAATTTTATTTCATTGTGGGTAGATAGGATGCTTGATAGAATTTTGATTTTTAAAAATATTTTGAGACTTCTTTGGTGTTTTAACACATGATCATTCTTAGAGAAAATTCTATGTGCTGATAAAAGTGTGTGTATTCTGCAGCTATTGGGTGAAATGTTCTGTAAATGTCTGTTATGTCTATTTGGTATATGATACAGTTTAAATCTGATATTTCTTTGTAGATTTTCTGTCAGATAATCTGTCCAGTGCTGATAGTGCAGTGTTGAAGTCCCCAACTATGATTGTGTTGGGATTTCTCTTTTTAGATTTAATAGTATTTGCTTCATATATGGTTGTACTGGTGTTTGGTGCATAATATATTTACAGTTGTTATATTTTCTTGCTGAATTGATCCCTTTATTATTATATAATATCCTTCTTTGTATTTTTAAAATAGCTTTTGACTCAAAGTTTGTTTTGTCTAAATGTAGCTACTCCTGCTCTTTTCTGGTTTTCATTTGCATAAAATACCTTTTTCTACCCTTCACTATCAGATTGTCTTTAAAAGTGAGGCAAGTTTCTTGTAGACAGTATGTAGTTGTGTCTCAACTTTTTTTTGATCCATTCACACAGTCTGTATATTTTATTAATATATGAGGGAATCCAAGCTATTTTCATCTAGGATTATTATCGCTATGTGAAGTTTTGTTCTTATCATTTTTTTAACTGTTTTCTGGTTGTTTTGTATAGTCTTTGTTCCTTTTCTCTCAGTGTCTGTCATTGTGGTTTGGTGATTTTCTGTAGTGATAAAGTTTGATTCCTTCTATCCCTCATTTGTGTTTTTGCTTTACTAGTGATTTCTATACTTTTGTGTGTTTTCATCATGGTAAATGTCCTTTTGTGTCTGGGTTTAGGGTTCCCTAGAGCATGTCTGGTAGGACCAGTTTGGTAGTGATAAATTCTCTCAGCTGTTGCTTATCTGGGAAACGTTATTTCACTTTTGTGTACGAAGGATAATTTTGCTGGGCATAATATTCTTGACTGGCAGTTTTTTTTTTTCCTTCAGGACTTTGAATATTTTTTTCCAATATCTCCTGCCCTGTAGGGTTTCCACTGAGAAATCTGATGTTAGTCTAATGAGGAGTACCTTATATGTGACTTGATGCTTTTCTCTTGCTGCCTTTAAAATTCTCTCTTTGTCTTTTGACAATTTGACTACAATTGGCCTTGGAGAGAACATGTTAGAATTGAATCTATTTGGCATTTTGGGATTCCTGGACCTGGATGTTTATCTCTCTCTCAAGACTTGGGAATTTTTCTTCTTTGATTTCATCAAATACATTTTTCTCACCATTTTCTTTTTTTTTCTCTTTCTGGAATGTCCATAATACAAGCATTTATTAACTTAAAAGTGTCCAATTTCTTTTTGGTCTATTTGTGTTATTTCAAAAGGCTTGTCTTCAAGTTCAGAAATTATTTTTTGTGCTTGGTCTAATCTGTTGTTGAGGCCTTTAATGTTGTTTTCTGTTTTATTCATTGAAATCTTCAGCTATAGGACTTCTGTTTTGTTCTGTTTTATTAAATCTATCTCTTTTTTTTTTTCATTTCTCATTCAAAGCATGAATTGTTTTTCTGATTCATGGAATTGTCTCTATGTATTCACTTTTATCTCACTATGCTTTAAGAGTATTATTTCAAATTCTTTTACTGGCATTTCATATATTTGATTATGACTGACATCTATTACTGGATAATTTTTGTTTTCCTTTGTAGGTGTTATGTTTCCTTGCTTTTTAATGTTTCATGTGTTCCTATATTGATTTTTATGCATCTCATGAGATAGTTGCCTCTTCCAATTTTATGGAGTAGGTTATGTAGGGAAAGTGATTTTCATACAAATGGGTCTTGGGATGTTGGCCTTGCTTCAAGGTGGACATAGTAATGTAGTATCCATGTAATTTCATTAGCCGTAGTCTGCACTATTGGCATTTGTGAATTTCTCAGTGGCCTAGCCTGAGAGTTTATGGTGAGCATGATGTGGCTTTGCTAGTGGTGGGCTCAACCAGTTTTGCACGTGACATATACATCTGTGCATCTGGTGAGTCAGCCAGCTTGGGTTCTGGTTTGCTAGGTTTCCTCTGGCCAGGAACATGGACACTTGTTTGCTCAGCCTGCTTGTAGGTGTGCCTGCTAGGATTATCCCATAGGGTTGTTTCTCAGGCGTGGGGTACAGCTACATGAATGCTCAGTTGCTCTGAGAGTACATTTTCTAATAGTGATCCATAAGGCTGTTACTCTGACCTTGTTTCGAGGTGGACACAGCGGCCTAGTGTCTGTGTAGTTTCTTCAGCTGTAATTCACGCTAGTGGCATTTGTGAATTTCTCAGTGGCCTAGGCTGAGAGAGTTTAAGGTGATGGTTATGGCTTTTCCAGGGGAGGGATTTCTGGGCTGTTTATCAGATTGGGGCTTATGCTTGGCAGGTCTGGGGGCGTGTCTGGTAGCAACAGCCCATGAGGCTACTTCTTAGGCCCAGGATGCTAGCATATGGCTACTCAGCTGGCCTGGGTGCATGTTTGCTGGGGATGTTTCTCAGGCCAAGTTTGTGAGCACACAGCTTCTTCACTGGCCTGGGGGTGTTTCTATGGGAGTGGTCCATAGGATTATTTTATAGGCTTAGGATGCAAGTGCAAGGCTGCTTGGCTGGCCCATGGGCCATGGGGAGTGGACCATTGGGTTGCTCTTAGGCCTGATATGTGGGAGCATGGCTGCTCAACTGGTCTTGGGTATGTCTGCAAGGGTGGCTCATGGGGCTGTTTCTCAGTTCTGGAATATGGGTGCTTGGCTGCTTGGTCAGTCTTGGGGAGTATTCACCAGGGGTTGCCTGCAAGACTGTTTCTCAGGCCCTGATTTCAGGCACACGGGCCTTGGGCAGACCAGGGCATGTCTACAAAGGAAAGGGCCCTTTAGGGCTGTTTCTCAGGTCCTGAGCAAGGGTGCATAGTGACTCTGCTGGCCTGGAACAGAGCAGCAAGCTCAAGGGAGGCTCACCCTGGGTGAAACTGACAGACTGTTCCTCTTGCTGGAAGTATGGCGGTGGGAGTTGGTTTTCCTGCAGTGCAAGACTAGAGTCATTGCCGATCCTGGATCATGGACCCAGGTTCAGTATGGCAGGGCCTGTGATGTTCAGCAACTTGTGTGGGCTTGGTGAAATGAAGATGGAATCCAGTTCTGGAGAATTGCATTGTATACTGGCCCACTGAGCAGGGTACCCGTCAGATGTGGCCCTTATCTCAAGATGATGCCATGCTTCAGCAACTTGGCTCAGAAGGAGTGGGTGGGGGTGAGGAGTGTGTACCTTGTGCTCTTTATCCAGGGATAGTGCAGCTGCATGAATTCCTGGCAGTTCTCTAAACTGGGCTCAGGGCTTGCAAGGACTCTGGGATTCTCCAGTTGTAAGGACTGTAGGTGTTTGTGGATGGCAATGGGAGCTGATGGGGATCTTCTGCTTACCTTTTCCCCGCAGTAGGAGGTCTCTCCTCACTCTGGGCAGCTCTGATCAGGGCAGGGAGACAGAGCTTTAGACGCCAGGTATCTCCATGCTGCTTTTCTGGAGTTCTAATCACCAAAGATGCATCTTCATTCCTCAGCTGTACTCCAGGGCTCTCCCTTTGACACTCCAGTCAAATCTTAGCTAATTATTAATTGCCTTGGTCATTTCTTGGAGAAGAGGGTACAAAGGCTAGGCATCTCTAGTCAGCCATCTTGCTGTCATCACTCTTCAAGTTTTCACATTTTAAAGAACAGTGGGATCTATATAGAGTTACTGTATAGATGTGAGCAAGATTTAATAATCATTTTTGGATGTTAGTGAATAGTCTAATACTGCTCGAAGCAGTTGAAAGACAAGACATTTTCAGAGAGTATAATTTTTAGGAGATAATGGAGGCTTGACTCTCATTTCTCAGTCATATATCTCTTCCTTTTTTTTTTAGATACAGAACACAAAGTGGAGGAGCGTGAAATACCAAAATTTAATACATCTACTTTTTTGAATAGACCAAAATGCATTAGGTTAAATATCATCTACCATTTGTTTCTAGGGAAGGATTCAAATGTGAGATTAATCAAATGACACTGGAACTCAAATATTGTGCATTTTTTTTTTGAGGTAGAGGAGAACTTTGTAGAGAAAAGGAGAAGAAAAATACATCTTTGGATTGTTGGTATGGGTTTGCACATAAGTAAGTGCTCATTAAATATTTAATAATGAACAATAAATAAGGGAAAATGACTTTGAAGTTCTAGAAATGGGAAGCAAGTTTCAAATCCTGGGCATACTTCAAACTCTTTCTTCACTATCACTTTCTTAAAAGTGACAAAATCTATTGCTTGGCTCAGCTTTATTATAGTGGACCACAATATATATTGTAGCAATTAGATAGAGTTGTATAATTGGAAAAACTCACAGGACTCCACAAAGCATACTTTTAAAAGGTTTTAGTAAAGACAAAGACTGCAAAATAGCAGAAAGAGAAAGAAAGCACAGGAAAATATTAGGAAGATTTGAGACATTCGTTTGCAGCTTTCAACGATATTGCATAGGACACATTTAGTCTCTGGATTACAATCCACTAAGATACGTAAAACCAAGCAGAAATTTACTGAGGAATGTTATATAGCCAAAATGAGGCTGTGTAACCCTGTGAACCAAGTCTACAGTATTAGTTTGTACATTTTCAGTAAACAGTGTAGACAAGCTGGTATTCTTAGGGACCTCTCAGACTTTAAACAGCATTATTAATCTCAGACTTTAAAAAGCATTATTAATAAAGAGCATTATTAATTCCATGGTCAAGATTTCATCCCTATCTTGACCATGGGAAGATCCATGGTTCCAGGAGCTTATGGGGACTTATCTCCATAGAGTTGCAAGATAAGCTGCAAGTGAACTCTTTCTTTACACATATATCTATTTTTTAGGGGGAAAGACCAAGAAAGGGTAAAACGTACCAAAGTTTGTTCAGTCCAGCCAGTCCCCAGCAAAGTCCTGGAAGAATGAATTCATTTTCTGGTAAGTTTTTATTCCTCTTTTAAAGTTTAACTATGGAACAGAGTAAAGAGCTCTCAATGTAATTAAATGTCTGGCAAGTTAATGTGAATAGAGAAATATGCAATTTCAGACACTTTGGAGTAAAACTGTGTAACTTTAGGCAGAAGTCCAATTTCATTTTGTTCTACATAGGTGCTATAGAGACAGAGCACATGAGAAATCAGTCCCCAGGCAACCAGTGAGATAGCAGGAGACAGGACAAAACACTTTTGTTATTGCTCTCAGCTTGATCTGTAAGGAAACATCATGATTTCATAGCCAAATTACCACCGAAAAGAAAAAAAATAGAAAAAAATTGAAAGCCTCTGCTCCTTCACTTAGACATGTGCTTCACCTTGGGCAAGTTACTTGATTCCACTAAACTACAGCCTTCCTATATAAAAAAAATGGGAGCACTGATACTAACCACATGGGGATGTTGCAAGAATTAAATGAGTCAATGTACAGAAAAGTACTACAACACATGGAGGCCTTAATTATAATTCTAAAATGTTCTTGTCAGAGAGGTGGGGATTAATATTTTTCCCTGATGTAATCTTCTAACATTATCAAGGTACTAAGCAATCTTTTAAAAATAGTATTATATAGTTCAATAGCTGATGTCTTGCTCCTTTGAACTTTGATCTATTTGAAGGAGATCCCTTTTATACTTTTCCCTCAGACAAAAAACACTACACATTATTCTAGTATACTGCTTCACAGCTAAACCAACTTCACTCACTGTATTAATGCATATTGCAGTTTCTACCATAAACATAATAACTTAACACAAGTTTATCCTCTGACAGTTCTAAAGTCAGTGTCACTGGGCTAAAGTCAAGGTGTCAAAAGACTGGTTCCTTTTGGAAGCTCCGAAGGTAGAAATTCATTTCCCAGCCCTTTTTAGCTACTGCTGGCTGCCTATATTCCTTGGCTTCCTACATCTTCAACGTGCATTACTCCAATTTTGCTTCCATCATTGAATTGCCTTTTCTGACTCGTCCCTCTTCTTAAAAGGAAACTTGTGATCACACTGAGTGCATGTGGATAATCCAGGTTAGGTTCCCTCTTTCAAGATCCTTAACTTAGTCAAATCTGAAAAGTCCCTTTTGCCATTTAAGGTGAAATTCACAGGTTCCAGGGATGAGGACATTGGGATCGGGATCATTATGCAGCCTTCTACACATACATTATTTTATATTCATTCAGGATGAGGTAGGCTGGCTCCACTTTAAGATGTACAGCTGCAGTCTTAAGAAGTCAAGTGACTCATTAGCAGTGTTACTAGTTACAGTGGAGAGCTAGTAAGTCTTTATTTTGCTTTTTGTAAATTCAGGAAGACTTGATTGAAATGTTTGGTTAATAATGACTTTTTTTTTTGCAATAGTTTACAGTTTACAAAAGAGCTGGTACCAAATGATCTTGTTTAGTTGGGATAATCTTATGAGTTAGAGTGTATTTATAAAATTTAAGCCATTTTGCCAATGTCTTTAATGAGCCTCTACAATAAGCCAGGCCCTGTGTTAGGTGATAGGGATACTCTAGTGACTGATACAGGCAAGATCCTATCATTATGTGGTTTATATTCTATTAAGGTAGATGGACAAAACCATAATAAATTGAATAATTGCAAATTGTAATTAAATGCTGCAAGATAACAGATGAAGAAATAGAAGACAAGAGTGATGAAGGGACTCTCACAATGTCATACAATAGTAAATGGAAGAACTAAGTCTTGAATTTAAAGTTTTTAAAACTTTTTTTTCATGATTATAGGGTATACATATGGTATACCCTGCACACTCAGCAATTTTTTTGTTACTAATTTTCCCTAGGACATAATATAATCTGTTCAGTGGGGACCATTTTTTTTTCTCATGGCTCATGATTGTGTTATAACTTAACACAATTTTATCCTCTGAAGGTTCTAAGGTCAGAGGATAAAATTTATATTAATAGGCATCAATGTAGAGTTGTCTCTCCTTATTTGCAGGTATTGGTTCCAGGTTCACCTGTGCATACTAAAATCCATGCATACGCAAATCCTAGAGTTGGCCCTGAAGCATCTCAGGATAGAAAAAGTCAGCTTTCCTTATACAGACATTTGCATCCTGAGAATACTGTATTTTCAATCTGGGTTTGGTTTGAGTTTGGTGTGGAAAGCCAACTGTACTTATTGAAAAAAAATCTACATATAACTGGACCCATGCAGTTCAAATCTCTGCTGTTTAAGGGTCAACTGTGGTTGGTTCCCTTGGTGACAACTGTACTGCTAGTGCATCACATTCTTGTGTTCAATGCTGAGCAGACTTGGTGAGTGTCAGTCTTTATTTTTCTTTTCAGAACCATGCACTCAATAGTGCCTGCCTGTCAAGAAGATCCACAGCTAAATTACTAACATAGTGCTCATGTAAGCAAATTTTTATGAATTGTGCTTTCAGAATGATTTATTGCAGCTTTAAAGCTTTTGCTATGACATATTTTATCTACATTTAAAATTCTGTTTAAAATAATAGCAAGCTGGAATGCAACTGTAGTAAGAGTTGCATTCGGCCAATAAGACAATTTTTAGTAAGTAGTCAGTATGCATGCATTTACCTAATTTTTTTAAGTATTGTTTTTAATTGACACATAATAATTGTACATATTTATGGAGGACAGTGTGATATTCTATTACATGTATACAATGAGTAATAATCAAATCATAGTATTTATGATAGTCATCACTTTGAATATTTATCATTTCTTTGTGTTGGGAATACTCAAAATCCTCTCTTTCAGCTTTTGGAAATAATGCAATAAATTATTGTTAAGTATAGTCACCCTGTAGTGCGATAGACTACTGGAAATTATTTCTCCTATCTAGCTGTAATTTTTTTTTTTTTGAGATGGAGTCTCACTGTGTCACCAGGCAGGAGTGCAGTGGCACATTCTCTGCTCACTGCAATCTCCGACTCCCTAGTTTGAGCAATTCTCCTGCCTCAGCCTCCCGAGCAGCTGGGATTACAGGCATGTACCACCACATCCAGCTAATTTTTGTATTTTTAGTAGAGATAGGGTTTCACTGTATTAGCCAGATGGTCTCAATCTCCTGATCTCGTGATCTGCCCACATTGGTCTCCCAAAGTACTGGGATACAGGCATGAGCCACTGTGCCCAGCTAATTTTGTATCTTTTAATCAGCCTTTCTTTATCCCCTCTCTCCTTTACCTTGTCCAGCCTCTGGTAACTTCTATTTTACCCTCTACTTCTATGAGATCAACTTTATTAGCTTCCACAGACTTAGAACATGTGGCAATTATTTTTTTGTGCCTAGGTTATTTAATTTAAGACAGTGTCCTCCAGACGTATCCATGTTGCTGACAATATTAGGATTTCCTTTTTTCTTATGCCTGAATGGGATTTTATCGTGTATATTTATCATATTTTCTTTCTTCATTCATCTGTTGATGGATATTTAGGTTGATTCCATATCTTAACTATTGTGAGAGTGCTGGTTTAAACACAGGAGTGCAGCTATTCCCTCAACAAAGTGATTTCCTTCACTTCAAAAATAATTCCAATAGTGGGTTTGCTAGATCATATGGTAGTTCAGTTTTTTAGTTTTTTGAGGAAGCTCTATACTTTTTTCATATTGGGTACACGAATTTATATTTTCACAAATAGTGCATAAGAGTTCCTTTATCTCCTCACTTGATTGTGATGTCTAATCTTTTTGATGTGCTGTTGGATGTGGTTTGCTGGCATTTTGTTAGTTTTTGTCTTTTTAATAATAGCCATTCTAACTGGGGTGAAATGATATCTCCTTGTGTTTTTGATTTGCATTTCCCTGATAATTAGTGATATTGAGCTTTTTGAAAATATACTTTTCTGCTATTCATATGTTTTTTTTTTGATAAATATCTACTCACATAATTTAGCCACTGTTTTCCTGAAATCCCTTTTTAAATTAATGTATTGTAGTTGTATATATTTTTGGGATTTGCTCATGTTTTAATTGGGTTATTATTTTTTGCTGTTGACTTCTTTAAATTCCTTATATATTCTGGATATTATTCCCTTGTTGGAGAAATAGTTTGCAAATTTTTTTTCCATTATGTAGGTTGTCTTTTCACTCTATTAGTGATTGTTTCCTTTGCTGTGCATAAATTTTTAAGTTCGATAAAATCCCATTTGCCTATTTTTGGTTTTGTTACTTGTGATTTTGAGGTCTTCTCCATAGAATCTTTGCACAGACCAAAGTCCTGAAGCATTTCTCCTACATTTTCATCTACTGGTTTTAGAGTTTTGGATCTTACATTTGGAATTTGGACCTTACATTTGGATCCATTTTGAGTTGATTTTTATTTTGGAAACAGTGAGAAATAGAGGTCTAGTTTAATTCTGCATATGGATATCCAATTTTCTAGCACCATTTTTGAAGAGCCTGTCCTTTCCCCAATGTATGTTCTTGGCAGTTTTGTCAAAAATCAATTGGCTATAAATACATGTAGTTATTTCTAGGCGTCTGGTTCTGTTTCATTGGTCTATGTATCCATTTTTATGTCAGTGCCCTGTCCTGTTTTGGTTACTATAGTTTGCAGCATATTTTGAGGTCAGGTAGTGTAATGTCTCCAGCTTTGTTCATTTGGATCAGTATTGCTTTGGCAATTCAGAGTCTTTCATGGTACCATATACATTTTAGGGTTGTTTTTCTATTTACATGAAGAATGACACTGATATTTTGATAGTGATTACATTGAATCTTAAATTGCTTTGGGTTTCACAGACATTTTAACAATATTAATTCCTCTGATCCATGAACATGGGATGTTTTTCTATTTCTTTGTATCCTTTTCAATTTCTTTCATCAGTGTTTCATAGTTTTCATTATAGAGATCTTTGACCTCTATGGTTAAATTTATTTCTAGGTACTTTGTTTCTTTTTAAAAATAAGTATTGTAAATGAGATTGATTTCTTGATTTCTTTTTCAACTAGATTGTTATTGGTGTATAGAAGTGCTACTGATTTATGTATGTTAATTTTGTATCTTGCAACTTTGTAGAATTGGTTTATCAATTTTAAGAGGTTTTGGGTGGAGTCTTTAGTTTTTTCTATATATAAGATTATGCCATCTGCAAACTGGGAAAATTTGATGTCTTTCTTTCCAATTATGATGCTCTTTATTTCTTTCTCTGGACTACTTGCTCTGTGTAGGACTTCCAGTACTATGTTGAATAACTGTGCTGAAAGTGAGCAAGCTTGTCTTATTGAAGTTCTTAAAGGAAAGGCTTTCAACTTTTCCTTGTTCAGTATGCTGCTAGCTGTGAGTGTGTCACATGTGGTCTTTATTGTATTAACAAACATTCCTTCCATACATAATTTATTGAGAGTTTTTAACTGAAAGGATGCTGAATTTTATGAAATGCCTTTTCTGTTTCTATTGATGTGATCATATGATTTCTGTCCTTTATTCTGTTTATGGGTTATATCAGGTTTATTAATTTGCCTATGTTGAATCATTCTTGCATCCCTGAGATAAATCTCATTTGATCTTAATGTGCTGTTGGATTTTGTTTGCTAGTATTTTCTGGAAGATTTTTCATCTATATTCATCAGGGATATTAGCTTGTAGTTTGTTGTGTCCTTGCTTGGTTTTGGTAACAGGGAAATGCTGTCCTTATAGAATGAATTTGGAAGAATTTCCCTTATTTCAACACTTCGGAATAGTTCAAGAAAAGTTAGTATTAGTTCTCTTTAAAAGTTTGGGAGAACTTAGCATTGAAACTATCCAATTATGGTCTTTTGTTGGGAGACTTTTTATCTTTTTAAGTTTCATTACCCATTTTTTTTTTTTTTTTGCTTATGTTTTCTAATCTTCCTAATTCAATCTTGGTAGGTTGTATGCGTCTAGAAATTTATCCATTTTCTCTGGTTTTTCGATTTGTTAATAAGTAATTGTTCATAAGAGTCTCTAAGAATCCATTGTATTTCTGCACTATCAGTTGTAATGTTTTCTTTCTTATTTTTGATTTTACTTATATAGGTCTTTTTCTCTTTTTATCTTAATTAGTGTACCTAGTGGCTTGTCAATTTTGTTTACCTTTTCTGAAAGCCAACTGTTTTGTTGATCCTTTGTAATTTTTAAAATCTTCATTTCATTTATTTATGCTCTGATTTTTATTATTTGTTTCCTTCTACTAATTTTGGATTTGGTTTGTTTTTGTTCTTCCCATTCCTTGATATGCATTGTTAAGTTGAAATATTTCTATGTTTTTGATGTAGGTGCTTACAAATTTCCCCTCTTAGTACTGCTTTTGGTTTGTTATGTAGGTTTTGATATATTGTGTTTCTGTTTCCATTTATTTTGAAAATTTTTAAGTATTTTCTTGTTAAATTTCTCATTGACCCATTGGTCATTCAGGAGCATGTTGCTTAATTTCTGTGTTTGTACTTTGTTTCCAAAGTTTCCCTTGTTTTGATTTGTAGGTTTATTCTATTGTGGTCAGAAATTATACCTAATATGTTTTCAATTAAAAAAAAATTTGTTGAGACTTGTTTTGTAGCCTAACATATGGTCAATCCTGGAGAATAAGAAGACTGTGCATTCTGCAGCTGTTGAATAAAATGTTCTATAAATGTCTGTTAGGTGCATTTGGCGCATAGCACAGTTTTAATCCAATGTTTCTTTGTTGACTTTCTGTCTAGGTGATCTGTCTAAAGCTGGGAGCAGAGTGAGGTCTTCAACTATGATTGTATTGGGGTTTATCTCTCTCTTTAGATCTAATAATATTTGCTTTGTATATCTTTGTGCTTTGGTGTTGAGTGTATAGATATTTACAATTGTTACATCCTCTTGCTGAATGAATATCTTTGTCATTATAGAATACTTTTCTTTGTATTTATATTTTTGACTTGAAGTCTATTTTGCCTAATGTAACTACAGCTATTTCTGCTCAGTTTTGGGTTCTGATTGTGTAGAATATCTATTTTTGCATCCTTTTACTTTCTGTATTATTTCCGTCTTTATAGGTGAAGTGAGTTTCTTATAGGCAGTATATTATTTGGTCATTTTTAAAAGATCCTTTTAGTCAGTCTGTATTTTTTAGTTGGGGAATTTAATCCATTTACATTCAAAATTTTTATTGACAGGTGAGGACTTTCTCCTGCCATTTAAAAAATTATGTTTCTGGTTGTTTTGTATATCTTCTGTTTCTTTGTTTTTCTCTTATTGTTTATCTTTATGATTTGGTGGTATTCTGTGGTGATCAGGTTTAACTTTATTTCTTTCTCATTTGTGTATCTACTCTTTCAGTGAGTTTTATACTTTTACACTGTTTCTCATGATAGTAGTTACTGTCCTTTTGCTGCCAGATGTAGAACTCCCTTAATCATCTGGAAGCCCTGAAAAACTATCTTTCTATTAAGAA